TGGTTATACTGCGACTGCCTGGCGTCTGACGCGGACAGCTTGTATCAGCTTGTAGATTTGAGGGGGATTCTAACCTGTTGTATAGCCAACGGCGTCAAGAAAAGAAAATGACATGAGCCAAAAATTTGACCTGCCTGAATCTCACCTCTCCCAGAGTGAATCCCACCGCGTACCCCATCAAGGCGGCCTCCGATGCCGTCAATGGGCTGCTTGTCATTAACCCACGGCAAGCAACACGACACGATGGGTACCAATATCGGCTGACAACTTACTTACGCATGACGCTTCATTTTAATAGAAGACTGGCATATCATAGCTGAGCCCAGGTTATGTGTTTGTTTGTATCGGGTGGTGTACATATATGCGTTGAAGGGCGTGGAGAACAATGCCACGGCCACCCCAACCTGCGCATGCTATGCAAACAGCTGTGCTAATGGAAGACTTATCGAATTATGCTCACCAACGTTGGTATTTCATGTCGAGTTGGGATAGGCTATGCGCCCGTTAGCGTACCTTTGCGCGCTTGAAGCGCGACTATGGATGACATGGCATTTTACTCAACCCAGATGATCGGCGCGCTCTGTAACATGATTCGGGGAATCACTCATGCTCTCAGGTACGTGGCTGGACGTTCCTGAAAAGAGAAGAAAGAAGTGCGCAATAATGAACACGGAGATGCACTGACGTGCGCTGACTTGGGTGAAATGAACTGGGCAATAGTACAAAGTGGCTACCATGGGCCGGCAAGCAACACGCGGGATAGTAATGCAGATCGCGCGGGTAATGATATAGACGTGGCTCTTGATATTTATGATATCATCAAAGCATCATTGGAGGTACCGTCTCTAGGCCGGAGGTGGGCGGACGACATCCCATCGGGTCGGGTACCCCCCGCTGCCGCTCCCCCGCGGATGCGGCGTCGGAGCTTTACCCCCGTGCCGTCCGGACTACCGCGGCGGAAAGCCCGTCACTCCCCACGGGGTGACTATCACCGAACGGGGGCATGGGAGTCGCGTGAGCTCATATGCCTCTGCAACTTTGACCTTACTCCGGCGGCGGACTGTTACGGACTCGGTTCCATCCCGTCCACATCTCGCCGCCCGTGCCTCCCGTCCTCCGGTACTTGAGGCGCGCCCTCTTTTGCCGGGTGGCAAAAAAGAAAACTGCCTCACCATCAAGCCGACGCTCAAAAGGCGTCTCTCTCTCGGGGAAAAGAGAAGAAGAGGGGAAGGGGGCGCGCGACAAGTGCCGTTGCGCGTCCCATCTGATAAGCCTAGCCATGCGCGGCGAGGCCGCGGTGATGCAAGCCCGGATATGCACGACACACGAGCATAAAACTACCGTGTTGGCCTCCTGGGCTTATAGCGGCAAACAGAACCACACGTTGTCATTCATGGGAGAGAGATGCGACAGCCTTAGCGTCAGGCACACCGGACACGACACGGTCATGTTCGCACCATGGTTCTTGTCGCTCAAACGGCCTATCATGGACGGTAGCGATTCTACTCTATTTGCGACTTTTACGGGACGGCCGAGAGAAGGCTTCAGGACTCGGTCCGAGATTTGCCCCCTCCCGGCAGAGGGAAGGAAAGAAACTCTCTCAAGTTACACGCTCGAGTGATGACAAGGCCAGGTCCGACCAGCGCTTCACACGGCAACACGGGAGAAGGGCGATCATGGCCCGTTGCAAGTTTAAACTTTTTGGCCTCTGATTTTGAGGGCGGCCCTGGCCGCCCGATTCAAGGCGGCAGTGGAGAAAAAGAAGAGGCAGAGGGCTGTAAGTTTGGCAGGCCAGGAGTGCGTACGCACTGATAGCAAGCGCAATTGCGAGCCGTGTTTCAACGAGAAAGGCTTGGGTATAGCAGGCAGAGAAGAACCACACCCTGTACTAGCTATTATCAGCGTCCTGGAAACAACTAGAGAAGACGGCGGATGAGAAGAGGATGCGAGTCGCCGGAAAGTTTAATGTTAACCTTGTTGGGTGCGCCTGGCTGGGCACGTTCAGCCGTGGCTGGCCTCCGCCCTCAGACAGCGGCTGTTCGGCACCTGGCCGACTTTCTTCTTGCCTTCCGTTTGATGTATTATGCATCGTATGGCGTGTTCTTCATGTACGGCATCTATGCATTCGCAGCCCTTCTAGAACTTTTATGATTGCTCTTCTCTAGTTTTAGTTTGGATGGACAAACAAGGGGGGAGGGGTGAGCTTGAAGCAGACCTCAAAAAAAAAAGTAAAAAAAAATAAAAAAAAATAAAAAGCACCGTCGGTAAAGAAGCAAGAACAGTTAATCATGTGCTTTGACCACGCAAGAGAGAGAATCGGGAAATGCGCACATTTTTGCCGATGTTGGCGATCTCAGCTTGGCCGGGCTGCCAGCGAAAGCGAAAGAGAGAGAGAGGGGGGGGAGGGGAGGGGCCTGATGACTCTCAGACGTTGAGGCCATCGGCCCGCGGGTTGCAAGAGGGGGGCCTGCAACTCCCGGGGCCGTGACATCCAGCCCAAGTCCCGGACCGCCCGCGAAAGTACCGTGCCCATCCGGTCTCCGGGAGTATTTGTTGTCGAAGCGAGGTGGCTGGTGTCATCGGAGACACGGCCACGAAATGGAAATTTCCGACAACCTGCTGTATTTGGAGAGAGGGAAGAAGCGGATGATGTCTTTTGGGCAATGACGAATTTAACATCCTAGATGCTTTTGTAACGTGGCTGTGGGTGTCCAGGTTCAACAGTGTCGCACCATGCGATGAAGAGGGAGGGTTGCTGGGAAGGCTCACGCCCTCAGCAGGCTGTTCCTCTTGTGTTGTATCTTTGCGAACGAATATCGCCCGACGGGAAAAAGGTTGAATAAAGAAATGGACAAGGCACGTTTCCTTGGGAACCTTGACGTCGGTTGGTCAGTTGGGGGTTGTCGAGTTGGTTCATGTCTTGAGCGGTATCCGAAACCCCGTGGAGACTGCAAAGGTTAAAATGAATTCAAAAAGTTGAAAAAAAAAAAAAAAAAAAGAAAAGGCACCAACACGCGCATGTTTTATCCCCCATCTACGACATCTCGTGCTTCAGAGCCCTGTGGGCGTGCAGCCAAGACTGCTGACTCGGAATAGACTTTCCTTTGTTTCCGCAACGCACCACTCTGCAGCGACGAGTTAGTTAGCTATCCAGATCGGACTTGTTCGCTTATGCCATGATCCAAAACGATAATGGGAGATGGGAATGGACAGGATCAGGGATCCAAAAAAAAAAAAAAAAAAGTCCAAAGAAAAATAATTAAATAGCCTTTTCCTCAACCCCTCTCTCCTCTTCTGGGAAATCTCGTCTCAAGTTGCCTTAGTCAACATCCCTGGCCGATATCACACACACCCCCTACCAAAAGCCGAATATAGCGTCCACGCCCACCTTTACGACAAAGAAGTAGCTAAGTTGGCACATGTATCTGTATGTATGCGGACGACTTGTGCAGACCGGAGGGTTATCCGGTGAATTGGTTCCGCTATGATTTGCCCAATGTATAGGTAGGCAGCATGTTGCCTCCTCCTCCCCCTTCATCACCACTCAATCTCGTGCCTCGCCCCTCCTCCTCCTCCTCCTCCTCCTCCTCCTCAACCCCCCCCTTCGTCCGTCTTGGTCGTCCCGCGCGCACACCCCGGATTGCTTCTCGTGCCTGGACCGACCTGTTCATGCCGCGAAACGCAAACTGCGCAGTCATGCCCATGAAGAGAAGCGGGTTGCTGCAAACGGCAGATGGGCGAGCAGAAAGAGGCAATGCCTTTAAAAAAAAAAAAAAAAAATATGCACACCACCTCTCTTGATACTTCGCTCTGTCCGTCTACCCAACTGCCACGGCAGTCCGTCATTGGCTGTCTCCCCCTCCCCCTGGTCATCTTCCCCCCCGACACTTACATGACGCGCATTCTCTCCGGGTTGCCGCCGCCGCCGCGGCGTCGCGGCCCTGCGCCCTTCTATCTCTCCCCAATTCCGCCAGTCAATGACCGGCCTATATCGCTGCCATGATCCACAACCAAGAGGAAAAAGGCACCGCATGAATCTCCGTGCTTTTGCTAGTCTATCTACCTAGCAGCTGAAGTGCCCTCCACTGAGAGACTGGAAAAGGGCTGACAACTAACTTGACAAGGCATCAACGGGGCCCGAAGGAGGACCCGAAATCCACTTGCGATGACCCCAGTCCCCGGTCCTTAACTAACAAACAGGCCAGAGAGAGGGAGGGAGAGGGAGAGAGGGCGCAGGCGAGAGTGGTTTTGCGAAAATCAACTCGCTCTCTCTGGGCTGTCCTTGTTTCCTTCCTTCCATTCCCGTTCTTGTTTTACTGGGACCCTCGCCTGACTTTTCAGCCTGGATCGGGTTGCCCGCGGATCGCCCACGTCACGGTACGCAAAGCTGTCATCCTACTACCGACTTGTCTCTCTCGCGCACGGACGCAAAGGTTCTTCTAGAATGCTTCTTTAATTTCTCTGTTCATTGTGATTTCATTCGTCAACTGATTTATTCGTGCCGTGCTAGCAAAATCGTATCCAACAAAAAGAAAATGCTGCTAATACAAACTGAATTCGTGGCATGGCCGCTGTCGACCCATACGTGTGAACATACATCATACAAGGCGTAATATCAAAAGCCCCGTTTCCCGTTATAACCCAAGTCTATATGTCGAACAAAAGAAAACATGCACTTGACGTAAACCCGCACCAAAGAAAAGGAAGAAAAGGAAGTAAACAAGAAGAGAAGAGGAGGAGTGAAGTGAAGAGAAGAAGCCACTAAAACAGGTTTCATGAGATGAAAAGTGTTCGGCAAATGATTGTCAAGAAGGAAGAAGGAAAAGAAGATTGAAGGAAGAAACAAGACAACCAACCAATCAAGCAAGCAATGGCAACAGGGTCGAAACCTGCGCCACACGCCCCCCCAAGGCTGATCCATGATTCAAGGCACACAGGACGCACGTACCCTTTGGAACAACACGCGCAAGTTACCCAAGAGGCAGTCTGGCTTGCGTGCCCTATATCACATTGCCATACATTGTAGTGGGGCTCGATAGCAGCGTACGGCCGACGCTGGATCGCAGGGACTGGGGTGGTGTCAATGGGCCAAGGGCCTGGTGGTGGTGTGGGTGCTGCTGTTGCTGCTGCTGCTGCTGCTGCTGGGGATGCATGTACTGCGGGATCGAGGTGTTGATACCGCCGCCGCCCATGCTCGCGTAGGAAGCCGATGTGAGGCCGTGAGACATGCTCGCCGGCGGAGTGCCCGGACGCTGCTGATGGTGGTCGTGTAAGCCGCCCATGGAGAGAGGAGGACCGGGCATGCGAGCGCTGTGTACTTGGTCTCTCCTCCGCTTGGGCGTATCCTTGATCTTGGCGTGAGAATGACACTGGAGAAGAGGAGGAAGAAAGCTGGTTAGCAATGGCATCCGACAAGCTCGTGAATTGTAAAGAAATGCCCACCTTGTATGCGTGTCTGAACCACGTCGTGCCCTTCTTCTTGCTGCTCACCAGCGCAATCCATTTATTGCAGCTCCCGCACAGTCCCTCCCAGACGTCCGGGTTGCCGTCCATGCGACGCTTGTCCAGCGGCTCCTGAAAGGGCGCGCCCGTGGCCGCGCTGATGCCGTGCGTGAATGACTTGTCGTACCAGTATGCCGAGTTCTTGAGCACCAGCCAGCGACCCGGTTTGCAGATGCCACACCACCCCTCGCGCTTGTTGCCATGTCCGCGTACCCACCGCGGCGTGTACATGTCGCCGTCGAAGCGCAGCTCCTGCTCGTACGGCACCAGATCCGGATCCGACGGGTTCATGTCCTCGGGAGGCGGCGGCGCCGGCTCCTGGTGCAGCGCCGGGTAGAGGTCCGGCGGCGCCGACAGGTCAGCGTAGTGGCCGCCGCCGTGGAAGGACGACTGCGACTCCATGTTGTTCTGCAGGAGCTTGAGAAGACCGTGGGAGGCGAGGGTCGGCGGCTGCGGCAAGGTGTGGTGATGGTTGCTGCTGTCGTGGTGCATGGCGTGAGAGGTCGGCAGAGGGTGGTGGCCAAGTCCGCCCATCATCATGGTGCTGTTTCGGTAGCCGCCATTCATCGCCATGGAGGGGACGTACGTGGGCTGCATGGGCATGGTGCTTCCCGGTGGCGGCCCCGAGACCATGCTGTGCGGCATGGAAGACGGCGCCAGCCCTTGCATCGAGTACCGCTGCGACGAGGACATGGTCGAGTCCTGCATCGACGACCCGCCATAGCCAAACGGCGAGTTCAGACGGCCCTGCTGGCTGCTGCCGATGTTGTGCGAGCCCGTGGACCAGCGTGCCGTGTTGCGGAGGCTGCCGTCGGTGCTGTACGGCGTGGAGCGCACGCTGGGACGCGGGGAGGGCGAGGCGCGGCCGCGGCTCTGGGCGCGGACTTGGTCCGGCCGGCTCTGGGGTGTCAGCCGCGGCGAGCCAACAGGCGACATGTGCGTCGTGGACATGAGCGAGGTCCGGTTGGACAGCGTGCCGTAGTCGGAGAAGGTGGGCGCCTCGGACAGCGTCGTCGTCGAGACGTCGTCCCCGGCGCCGCAGGTAGGGGTGGCGGTGGTGGGCATGTCGGAGTAGGCGGCGGGCGTCGACATGCCGAGGGAAGAGTCGGAACGACGGATAGCCGTGGGGTCTGAGTAGGAAGACGACAGCTCATGGCGGGATTGCGAGAATCGAAGGTCAATGATGGGGATGCTCTCGTCGGTGGTGTACGCTTGCCCGATGGGGGCGTCGGGATCAAACGGGTACAGCTCAAACTGGTCGTAGGACTTTTGACCCCAGCTCCCTGTATTCATGTTAGGCATGGATTGCAAAGGATTCCAGCTCGCAGCATCGACAGCCCTACCGTCTTTGACGAGTGATTGCGGCAGCTGCCCGGGGTAGTCGAGCCCGGCCTTGCCGGGCAGCGTTGATCTGGGGGTTATCGAGTGGTCCCAACCAGCCGGGACGGAGTGATTGGGCTCTCCAGAGCCGCAAGAAATCTGTGATGAGTGTCCGGTCGAGCCTTCCTGCAGATTTAGGCCCGTTTGCGGCATCCAGGCGCTCATAGCGGGCTGGAGGTCCGCAGAGGTGGAAATGTTGGTCTGTTGGGCATCCAGCGTCGTGGTCGGCGTCGCGGGCACCACATGCTCGGCTGGGCGCTCCATTGATGCCGATGTCGAGAACATGGAAGAGAGCAATCAAGAGGCGGGACGCTCGGTCGAGATGGCAAGACGAAAGTAAATAAAACAGCAAAGGGTCGAGAGATATGCCCCAGGTGTGAGAGGGGAAGGGTTGGTGGCCAGGACGTTGGACTGTCGAGAGACGAGGCCTGAAAGGAATGGTGTTTTTTTTCTGCCAGCACTGCAAGGTAATTCTGCTCGTAGGTGATATACCGTTGCCAAGCGGGATGCCTTTTTTCCTCGTTTTGGTAAGCTGTAAATGACTGTGTACAACACGATGCTGTGTGACGACGGCGATGAAGAGCAACAGGCACCGCCACTATATAAGAGAGGATGGAACACCAGAGTGGATGGTATAACAGAGTCGAGATATTGCTTTTCGAAACAATGCAGTGTTGAGAGTCCTCTGTGTGTGTGCGGGCGGGCGTATTTGTGTGTGTGTATGAATAATGAACAACTGGCGTAGAGAACCAGCTCTGGGGGAACGGGGTATTATTAAGTTTCTGGAGGTGTGTAATAAGAGGCCGAGGAAAAAAAAAAGGTTAAGAAATGGGATAAATGGCATAAATGGTAGAAGGAGTGTGTATAAGTGGTGAGGTGTGGGAAAGAGGAAGCGAGGGAAGGAGTGTGAGAGAGAGAAAGACAGAAAGCCAGAGGCAGTACACTGGGATCTGTCTGGGCGCAGACGCTGTGTGAGAGGAGGCACAAGGCAAGATGATGGGATGGGATGGGATGGGCCACCCGTAACAAGGCATTGAGGAGGTCTGGATTCACACACAGGCTCTCTTTTTTTAGCAGGCGGTAGTTGTACGGTATCACTGACTGACTGACTGGTAGCAGCCAGCTGGTTGGGTCGGCGCGCCCACATTCAAGGAGGAAGAGGAGGAGGAGAAGGAGGAGCAGCGCACCGAGACGCGGCCAGCACTGAAAGAGCCACAGACACAAAGAGAGAGGAGAATAAAACCAAGGTTAGCCCAGCTCAAAAGAGAGTTCAAGGGGTATACCAGGCGTTTTTTTTTTTTTTTTTTTTTTTTTTTTTTTTTAACTTGTTCCTTGCCTGCATATTTTTGGGGACCAATTGTTGCGCGCAACTCCTCCCCCTCCTCTCCTCCTCCTGCGCCAGGGCGTGTGCTAGGAGTACAGGGCAGGACAAGAACAAAGGGCCCCCACGATCGCAATACACCAACATCGACCTCTTCTGTGGGACGACACTTTCTCTCTCTGGTTACGGCTTTTGGTTTAGTTAGCTAGCCATCTGGGCGCTGTGTCGGTTTGGCAGGGTACAAGGTACAATGTGTGTGCGTTTTGGGGGACCCCCCAATGTGCTGGCCGGTGCTGGTTAAAGTTATTGTGCAACAATGGGAGAGAGGGGGGGGGGGGGGTGCGTACAAGTCAGGTCTAGTAGCGACGTCGACCGTTGACAGAGACAAGGCCAGAGGGGGGGGGAGGGTGCGAATTAGGCCAAAAAGGCAGTTTGAGTTGGGCTTGCCGAAACCAACCCAAGCAATGAAAAAGCAAGGCAAAAAAAAGGTTATGAGGACTCGGACGTTGAGATTGTGCCTGGCATCGACTAGTTAGCTAACCTACCTCTAAACTCTGTATGTCTACCGTTTTGTGCATGTGCTGGTGCCTGTGCCTGGCTGGGGGCCTTTTTTTCTGCCAGCAAAAGGGCTTTCGCGGGGGAGGCACCAGCTTGCCCTGCAATGGAAGGTCGTTATCAAGTCAGAGGTAAAAATAGCCTGGCAGGCTGGTATGAAGTGGTGCCACACGGCTTTTTTTGGCCGAAGAGGCTTTGCCTGTCAGATGTATCTAACTATGTAACCCAACTACCTCCGTAGCCATTCTTACAACGCACGCGGGCAAGTCAGTGCGAGCCCGGCAGGGCCGTGTATTGCAGCCGACAGGGCTTGTTGCACGGAGAAGGAGCGAGAGCAAGAGCAATACGGTTACTTTCTACGGAGTACGGAGTACAAGGTATTATTAGTCGGTCGCGCTAGCTTCAACATACATAACTCGAGAATGCAAGGATTCCACAAGGGCGTGTACATGAAGCTACAAAATGCACTATAACGGGTACCTGGATAATAAGATTACACTGTCAAAGCAGAGAGTCGTTACCGAGGATGAAGGCCTCCAGCCTCACATCTTCAGCAAGTTTCAGTATTATGACAAGTACTCTCATGTACCCATCTCGTGAATAACTGAATACTGAATACATATCCTTGCTCGGTCTCGATTCTAGTGCGATGAGCCCGGCATCCGTCCATTTTCTCTTTATCTATCGGTCCGGTAGTCTCATTTTCAACTTTACTTTCCTTTTCCTCTTCCTTTTCCCTTCTTCAGTTTTCTTTGTAATTTTTTTTTTTTTACTTTTGCCTTTCACCCCCGACGAGTTCCAAGGAGTTGTCCGGGGGGCGTGTTTCTGGAGTTTCAAGTCTGCTCGAAAAAGCGGGTTATGGCCCTTTCGTCCAGCGCAGCGCCAAACCAGTAGGAAGAAGCTGGCAGAGTTTAAAAAAAATAGGCCGCGAAAATAAAAGAAAAGGCGAATCAGCGACCCCGTTGGGAGGGGGGGCGTGAGCTAGGCTGCCTTTCTCCAGTTGCCAGACAGACCCTTGCAAGGACGATGAATAATGTAGAGCTTAGGTAGACAGGGCTGGGCATCGAGGGCAGCGTAGGGAGCTGGATTGTCATGACAGAAGAGGGTTTCCTCGGTGACGACGCGTACAGTCAGCGCTTGCATATTTTTGCATTTATCTCTTCGTCCTTGCCCATTGATGCTCTGCGTTATGCCGACGGGCCAAGTTGTAGTTTAGATGATTTGGAAACTTCCACATGCACTCTTTGGTGAGTTTGGCTGACGAGAGCTTATTTCGGCGCCTTTTTTTTTTTTTTTTTTTTTTTCAGTAATTCACATTTTTTCTACTATTACTCCGTCTCTGATCATGATTGAGTGCATCCTAGGCGAGGCCGCAGGTTTCAGGGCCGGGCGAGGCCGCCGGATGCCGTGTTTTATTACAAAACAAGGGTATAATGGAAAGGAAGTCGAGGCGTCGGGTCGGCTACAGGATAATAGCCGCCTCTGCGAAGGAAGTTGACGTGACGATTCCTTGTGCCTGAGACGACGACTTACATGCGGCGAGTTGATTCTTGGGTATCCAGCACCTGTTGGCTGGTTTGCTCTGGCTCCAACACAACACACATGCAGGGCCCGAGCTGCCACGCGGACGGACGGGCTGATGACGATATCGTTCGATGACCAGTACAACATTGCCCCATTGGGCAAGTCATCAGGTACATGTACTTGTGCCAGACACACGGATATCTGGGCAAAAAAGGCATCCACGAGCGGCTTGTTTTCGCATCGACTGCGAACAGACAGCCGCTATGTAGACCATGACCTTGGTGGTGCTACCATGCCATCCATCTGTCAATGACACGGCCAGTCCGTCCGGGGCTCCGTGCGGCACCCCGCTTTGGTGGTGGTTGATGGCCGGTTAACGGCAGCCTCTCTTCATAAACTCATAAAGATGCTCTAGAGATGCTGACAATATCTACTTCTACAGTATAATGAACCTCGGAGAAATTGAGCAGTAATCATGTATGTTCGATTTATATTGGTCACGTATTGCATATAGAGCCTATATAATTCGTACTCCGTAACCACACAGCCCTTAAAAGATGAGTCAGGTTGGACGGACCGCGCGGCGACTTGCAATACCTTAATTAGTATCCGTAACTACCTAGGTACCCAGTAACCGGATTCCCGCTTACAGCGGCGCCAGGCACTGTCAGCTCCGCCCTCCGCTCCCGAGTGCCTGCCAAATTATTTGTCCGTTTGCTGTGCCAGTCGGTGCAAAATGCCAGCTGCCAACACCAACCGCCCGGCCCAGACAGCTGGCAGACGGTGCAAACGCATCAGCTGCCAGCTGCCTGCCAGCTGCCCGCCAACCGCCGTGAACCCAAACCATTGTCAAACCGGCGCTTCCTCGTCTCGCCTTACCCTCGCTGAAACGCTCGTGGATTTCACCAGAGACAATCGCCAGACACTTTGCTTCCAAGAAACCTACCCATTCTCTCGTTAACATCCCCTCATTTTTATCATCCCATTCTGATTCTGGCGCCATCACGAGGCCCGACCCTCGATATATCCATCCGCATCTTGCTCGCCACGCCGGCCATTACGCGATGCCCCATCACCAAGCCGGCTCTCGTTCCCCCGATCCGAATTCAAACACCCGCTCGTGATGCCCGGGGGGGGGGGGCCAAATTGACTCTACCGACCACCCGGCTCGCCCCCTTGCCGCTATTCCTGCTAGCCCTATCCTAGAGATGTATGTATCATACTAGTTATTAATCCTCCCTCCACCGCCGTTGCCATCGCTACGGTAGGATCAGGATTCATTGAGCATCATCGAACGTTTGACAATTTCGCAACTCCTATGAACCACCACGCCCCCTCCCGTTCGCCATCATCCTGCAACAACAGTAACCGCCCGCCAAGGCTTTGATCGAACTCTCGAACCTCTCAGTCATGGTCTTTTGCGTCGCAGGTGATGCCGCCACTGACCCTACACTCCTGCAGGCACCTCCGCCATGTCCGCACACGTATCAGTGATCCTCTAGCCCTCAAGAACCTTGTTTTGTCCGGACTCATGTCTCTTGTGGCGATGCCTCGTGTATTTGACCAACGGCCTCGGCATTGTTCGTATCTCGTACTGATAGGCGATATTGCAAGTTCTTGGCACAGTCCGCTCAAGAACCGCCTCTCTTGCATGTTGGTCGCTCTGTGTCCACCACACGTCAACCAACCAAAACTATATATGGTTATGTGGGAAAGATATTGCGCGCTATTCTTCGCACCCGAAGCACTCCCCCCCCCCCAACCCCCCCCCCCCCCAATCCTACTGGGAATCTTCCAACGTCGGGCACCGCCCAGTGCTCCAGGCCCGACCTATATCGACACAACAGCGCTAGCATTTCTGAGCTCGCCCAGATTGGTCATGCACTGTCGCCCATTGCCAGTCGTCGCCTCCGTCGTTAACGCGGCACTTTACAGCTCTTCTCCAGCGAAGAAAGCTTAAAGGCTAGCGCCCGCTATCACCTCAACACCAAGTCGTTGCTCTCCGCCGTGGGGCTCACAACGCAAGTTCTCAGTATGGGCACAGTCCCCCAGGCACCTACTGGCTTATACCTCTGCTAACCTCACAATAGGCCCTCAGGTTATGGTAAATGGCTAGCTAAGAGATGTTGATGCGGTTGGCTCAGAAACGCCATATCGAGATCTGCAAATCAGAGGAGTATCACGCATGAATTTCGCGGCGGGAATCGTTGACCAGCCGGGATGTCGGATCTCGCTACCTTCTCTACCGAGATGCGGAGGTACTTCAACCCACCACGCAAATGCCCGCGCTACGACAATAGCAGGTCCTGAAGCCGCAACCCTTGTTCAATGCGCAGCTGGGTAATCATTAGGTAGGTGGTCCTCCTGCACGGCGGCCATTTACGGAATCTACACTGCCATGTGCTGCATTCGAATGCCAACCGGTCGCTCCACGCTCCATTAAGGTTTGCTGCAATCCGGTCAAGGTCCGTTGAAAGGACCGCGCAACCAGCGGCATCCCGCTGGCCATCCCGCTGGCACCCAATTGGGGCGCATAACATGCCCCCGAGACTTGGCCGAAGTTTTGCAGATGCCTGCATTAGTTAGTATTCTATCCATCGCCTTGCCAAGCCCGGCTAATTATTTGACCATAGGACGGCGCATTTCGCTCTCTCGGCCGTTATGGAGAATTAGAAGCCCTCAAAAAAAAACGGCTCGCTCCATTATCTAATTGAAATGTCAGATCTAGGCGAGGCGGGCGACAGTCACGCATGACCGCCCAATGCCCCAGCCATTCATAGGCATCCGTCGTCTGCTCGCCGCCGAAAGAATACCACCAAAGAGTACCGCGTCTTCACGTACAAACTCAGTGAAGATTGGAGCTTTGGACCAGCGGCAGGAAGCTGTGCTTGCGTATACGGAAAGCAGAACGACTGAAGGCGCAATCTTCATGTACGTCACACTGGCATACATAATAAGGTTTAGAGCCATGCAAGTTATGAGCTCCCATCCCTGCCCATTGTAGCTCGAAAACTGGGTACTGACATCTCGACCCAAGGCTGAAAAGCGAGCCAGTGCCCAACAAGAAATTAGAAGGAAGAATCTGCAGCGGGGCGAAGCAAGTCGATAGTTATGTTTTTTCCTTGGTCGGGATCCAGGTCCAAAAACACACAGCGAGCAATCACATTGCCGAACGGCAATCAAAAACTCAAGCCCCATTTAATAACAGTTTGGAGTATACATACTAACTGGACTTCCATATTAGGCAAGTCTCGGCAAGACCGTTGGATCGACCCCAAAACCTGCACCCCACCTGAGGGGCCCGTCTTTACTTACACGCTGTGGCTGAACATTCAGAGCCAGGGCGTTCCTTGCTTTCTGCTGGCAAGTGACTGTGTTAAATATCCTGAGAAACAAGTCGGTGATCTTGGATGAAAGCTCGATTACTGATACGGTTCGCTTGGCTGGCAGTTCGATTACTGATATGGATCATTTAGGTAGTCCTTTGGCACAGATGCAGCCACATCACGGAACGCGGCTACATACTACAAGAACAGCAGCGTCAAGTCTTTGGTCTCAACCAGTTTTTAGAGGTTTAAAATACTCCGGTTACCGGATACGAATGGTCAATATGCACAATCTCAACATGGGAAAGCTAGAATTGCATGAGTTCAAGTCTGTTGGTTTGCTGTCAACCGTGCAACGGTGCACCAGTGGCTGCTCCGCCTCCCCATATATCCTCCTCGTGATGAGATTTCGCTTAGCTCGCGATTCATAGAAAGTGGGCTCTTTTCTGTGAATCGCAGGCGGTTTTGCAAGGGCAGGATACTGGTAAGTTTTCGCTTGTTGGGTCAAGGCACCTGGTTCCTTGTTCTGCAGAGTCCCCGCTCTCTGCATGTGGCGTTTAACTTTGGTCCGTGGGTAACTGGGCTAGCGAGCATAGCCCTTCCCGTCCGTTCCGTATTCTTTACGGCCAGTTACCTTGCTTCAAAACACATGACCCTGTCTGTCATTGTTCATAAAGCCGCTGGGGAAACTCTAAATCTAACAATAGGCAACTGACACCTCGTGGCCTTCAAAAGTAGCAAGACTCAAGTCGCGGACAGCTTCCGCGATGAATCAAAACCCTAACGGTAGCTCTATCTATGAAAGAGCCGAGATGCTGACTCGGGGGAAATCAAGAGCATGCGAGATGATGGAATAGGTTCGATCCCGTTGTTTTTTCTCCAGTTTCGTGCGCCATTAGCTCCTCGGCTAAATGGAGGTGAAGGTATTTTTACCATTTTTCGAAGCTCGCAACTCGATGGACCGAAACCTGAAAAGCAAAAGACTTCACTAGTGTCCAAGCTCTTGGAAATTTTAATCGGTTATTAGAACCTGCCCTTCCAATGGCATGAACCGAAGCGACAGCGCGCTCCACGTCGACTAGTTTTCCATCCCAGATCTGTAACAATGCCGGGCACCATGACATGCCATGCAGCATCCGCCCCAGGTATGGGATGGACACCAAACCCTTGCAAAGCGCAAATCTGTCGCCGTCTTTTTGAAAGTCAAAGTTAGCTTTCCAATTCACGGACTTGGCAGATCACGCTGACAGTTGTGCCTGGCCACCTCGCGTGAAAAGCTCCGACAAACAAAGATGTGCTAACTTTGTCTGTTTTGGCAAGTACTTCCAAAGATCGATAAAGTAGTATTCGTGACCAGGTCTAGCTACTACCATGGACATGGACTATTCATCGAAATTGCGTTATCATCGAGCAGATAAGTAGACAAGAAATAACCTGCGCAACTAACTGGCGCCATCCCTGCAGCCCTCTGGGTGTTCAAGGTTTCAGGGACAATTGAAAAAGCCTCTCTCATGTGCACGCACGGATATTTCTTTGTGCGCCCTCGACTTTCAGGCCGCGCGAGAAGATCAATGTGCGGTCTTACCTTATCCCCGGCAGCCCTTTTCAACATGCTGACATGGGGTGTGGCTCGAAACATTCTAGACTTTGAGACTTTTCAAATCTAACTTTATACTCGGCAAATCTATAGAGCTTTTCTCCCAGTACGCTGCTATGTGAGTGTGATTTCCACCCATGCTGTAAAGCAGGACTGCTTCCTCCCAAGTTGTCCCATGCTGAAGACTCTGTTCTCCAGCTGGCATAGAAGGAGTGTCCGAAAATCATGATTCAATCACGAACTTATACCATTCTATTGTACACCGAATAAGCTTAAGGAATTAGCAAAATATTTCATGATCGTGCATAGTTATGCAAAGCATGTGATCAATGCGACGGGAGACACGGCAACACTGCCGGACATTGCTCTTTCATGCAGCCTGGGGAATCCCAGATCCCGCTGAGGTACTCTGCAGATACGCTCCAACTCAGGCGTATGGCCTTTCATCACGACATACATTCACCTCTATTTGTTTTGTGAGGACTTTTCCCCGACTTCTGTCGCTGCAGACCGTAAGATGCCTTCGCCCGTCCTGCTCGGAAATCATGTTCCACGCAGCGCTCGGCACTTATTATCATCACGCGCAGGGGAGGGGCAAGGCAAGTCCAAGTGATCGTCGGGCACCGTCCTCCATCGAAGGACGAACCCCCCTCCCTTGTGACGTTGTCGTGGCGTTTCGGGTCGACAGGGACTTCTCGCCCAACGAGTTGATCAATTGGGGCGACGACCAACGAGCTGAATGGATCTTACAAATGTGAAGCTTGTGACTGCAACCCATCCGGTTCCCCGGTTGGAGGGCCGGGTAATATATCCAATACAAGCAAGGGCTTAGTAGTTTGATCACCACGACGCATATCCATGCCCAAATTTAGCAACCCGGTTAAATGAAAAAAAAGTCATGGCCAATGATTCCCGAGAACAAGGCAGGGCCAAAAGAGAAAAAAAACTCTATTTTATCGAACGTGGCTTGCTCTTTCTTTCTTTTTTTACGTCCTGTGACTGGCTGACTACTTTTGATCCTTGTTCACAGCCTTCCAGACCTCACCCTCGGCCGCCGCCAGGGTGTCCCCGGCCGCCGCCGCCCACTTCTTCGCCGTGCCCCAGATGCTGCTGTCCTCCCCATCTCCGCCGCCGCCCGCGCCTGGCATCCCAAAGGAAGAGGAAGAGTTTTGCGCCACGTACGCCTCGTGCGCCGCGCGCTGACCGCTGGAGAAGTCGGCCGCGCGGGCATCTTGCCGGTAGCCCGGGGGGTGCGACAAATCCGTCCCGGCATCGAGCGCGGTGCCCACGGGCAGCGGTACCGGCCCTGGCGAGGCGAAGGTCCCTGCAGAGGTGGAAGAAGTGCCTCTGATGGAGGAGTGTGGCATGGAGGGCGGAGGGTAGGCCATCTGCGCGGGCATCATTGTCGGAGGCGGATAGGCAGAGGGCGGCGGCGGCGGCGCGGTCGACCCCACGCCCGTGTGCTCGGGACCTAGTGTTTCACCCTTCTTCGGTGGCGGAGGCAGCGTCCTGGCAGCCACTGCACCGCCTTGTTGGGGCGTGGGCGCAGCGCCAGGTTGTGGCGGCGCGGGAGAGCTGCCATCATCGTGGCTGGTGGTGGTTGTTGTCTTGGTAGGCGTGGCGGACTGGACGTGTCCAAACGCTGTTGTCGTCGTCGTCGTCGCTGCCGCTGGCGCCGGTGCGTGCGGTGGAGTCGAGGCCGACGAGGTCGCCGATGTATTGAACGGTCTGGATCCTTGCTGCGCTGACAATGGCGATCCGTGGCCTCCAGGCGCGGTCGCAATGGTGGTGGTGGTTTGCGTAGTGGTGTTGCGCGCGGCGGGTGGCGACGGCGCTGCTGTCGGTCCGAGAGCCTTGGCCGCGGTGATGGGGCTGGAGCTGAATGTCTGCACTGGTGCCATGGCCGAGGTTATCTCACGCGTTGTTTTCGTATGTCATATGCGTAATGGAGTGTTTTGGGGTTTCCTATGTCCTGGATGGGGGCTTTATGATTCGAGGGAGGGTGGCGTGGTTCGCGATTGTAAGAGAGGCCCGGCGCAAGCTTGCGTCTGCAGCTGTTGGGGCGGGGATGGTGCGATTGACCAGTGATGGACGGTAGTTGACAGTCGAATTGAGGATGAGCAAAGCTGCTTTGGCGATGGGAACCTGGCAATGGCTGAGAGCGAGGTTTGATGGCGGCTAAACGCGTGTTGTTGCGTCGTGGCAAGTCATTACGTCAGGTGACGGATAGAGCTAAAAGTCGCTGCCTTGTCGGTGGCTGGGTTGCGGGGGATCGCCAGAGCATCCCAAAGAGCAGCAGAAGACAATGAACTTGCGTTTAAATCCCTTTGAGTGCGCGAAGGCTCGGCGATGGTAACTCACAGGAAACTTAACTAATCAAAGCGTGTAATAGTCTAAGTACTTGATTTTTCGAAATATTCGTTGGTCTTTTATTGTACCTTCAACGTGCACAAGGACACAAAGCTAGATGTAGAGTCAGGTTATATTCGCTGTTTCCCAGTACTGAAAGTACGTCCCTACTAGCGGCTAGAGATTCTTCGTGGAGTCTTTGCGCACTCAAAGGGATGTATCCGCGGTTCAAACTGGAACAAGCCCGGACTTGAATAATTGTCGCTACATGGCATCTGGTGTATAGGGTAGGCTGCAGCTCGCTTCTGACACCAACTCCCTGCCTGCTTAGCCTTGGTAATTCCTACTATCATGGAATTTACACGGCAGCACAAAAAACTGCAGAATTTGAAAGCAGAATCTTTAATATAATCCCGAACGGACAGTTATTGCACTGCCGTCTTGGTCGCTGCTCCGCGGACGCTGTTTGGATATGCTGAAACTCCAAACCTCGGAGGAGAACCAGACAACTTGAGGGAGTCCGAGCTTTGCCTTGCCCCTTTGCACAGAACCTGAAAAGTCCCACGATGTGCCAAATTTCGGAGAAGTAGCCAGCGCTCGTAATAATAAAGATGCTGTTGCTTGAAGATGCGCCTAGGAGAAGCCGCTTCGCAACATCCATATCTGGTCATGCACTGAACTAGACAGCAAATGCGCTAGAGGCGCTCAACATGTGATGGATGAAAGCTCTTACAGCTGTGTTGTCATATCGCCTCTCGGCCTCCACAGCTGCGATTCTCGCAGTCGGCCATCGCGTATATTCTCGTCAAATTTATGGACAGAACAAGGCGAACGCTAGATCTAACGGCATGACAGAGATGCTCGAAAGAAATAGGCCAAACGAAGCAGGAAGCTTGGTGATGCGGATCAACGAAACTCCAGTTTCCGCTGCGCTAGTCCGCTTTTGGGCTTCGAGGGCATCCTCCCAAGACCGCGCCGCGGTTGTCTTCCACGGCCAACTCGAGTCTTTTCTCTTCATCGCATCGATTAGTTTGCGTGCGTCGCGTCGCCCAAAATGGTCGGAAAGGTTTCGGAGCGGGTTCTCCTGCGCGAGGGTTCGTCATGTACCTCGGGCGTATTTCGGAGGGATGCAATTGCTAATTCTGCTTAGGCCTCGAAAGAACCGACAATGGCATGAAGCTCACCACCTGGCCCGATGTGACGCCCATCAACCAGAAGAATTACTATACGTATGCAAGAGAACGCAGCTTGCGCGTGTTCGAGCTAACGGTCCTGCAGAGATTATATGAAACGAGATGACCAGATCCTCGCTCTGCGACTCCAAAACGATGCTACCCGCGACAAGCTCGTCCAGAGTGCGCGCGACCGCGATCGCCTCCTATCTAAGCCCGCTAATGGCGAACTCCCACTTCCCGTCCCCAACCTCGTCGACGATGAAGATGGCGCCGCGACTCCTTCTGCCGCCACCGATCCTTCGCGCATCATCGTCATCCACCCCGGCAGCCAGAACCTGCGCATCGGCTTCGCCAGCGACGCCCTGCCCAAGACGATCCCGACCGCCCTCGCCACCAAGTTTGCCCGGACCGAGTCCGATATGTTCGAGGCGTTGCCGCGACGCCAGTTTGAGGGCAAGACAGTGGACCAGCAGTATGGCGAGGAGTGGTCCAAGAAGTACCAAAAGATGTGCGCCGACCTCAAGGTTGAGATGCGCGCCAACAAGCGCAAGGTGCTGCCCAACTCCAAGGAGCTGGTGCAGACATTCAACCGACGCACGGAACCCGAAATCATCCAGCAGCACAACGATCCGCTGGAAGTGGAGTGGACCGACGTCAAGAAGCTGAAAAAGACGGACTTTGAGGCAGAGTGCTTCATCGGCCACGAGGCCCTGCGTGTTCCTGACGACTCGGACCCCAAGTTCAAGGTCTGGTGGCCTCTTCAGCACGGCTGGTGGAACGAGGACGGGTACACGAGCCAAGAGCACCTGTACGACGACTTTGAAACGCTCCTCGACAAGGCCCTTCGGCAAGAACTTGGCCTGACGACCAACAGCGAGTGGCAGCAATACAGCTGTGTTTTCATCATCCCCGATCTCTACGACAAGAAATACGTTGAGCAAATCTTGTACTCCTGCATGACATGGTTTGAGTTTAGCAAAGTCTGCTTTGTCCAGGAGAGCATGGCGGCCACATTTGGCGCTGGATATACCCAAGCCTGCGTGGTTGATGTCGGTGCTCAGAAGACATCGGTGACTTGCGTCGAGGATGGTCTCTGCATCGAAGACTCGCGCATCAATCTCAAGTACGGCGGATACGACATGACCGATACCTTTATCAAGATGATGTTGTACGACAACTTCCCGTATCAGGAGATTAACGTGCAAAAAAGATCCGACTTTTTGCTGGCCGAGGAGCTCAAGATCAAGCACTGCACCATGTCCCAGGCGGAAATCTCGGTGCAGCTCTACAACTTCCACGTGCGCGCGCCCAACGAGCCCACTCGAAAATACGCGTTCAAGACGTACGACGAGGTCATCCTGTCGCCGATGGGAGTCTTTGACCCGGCCATCTATGACAACAGCACCAAACTTCGCGGGAGACGGAAGCTGATCGAGCGCTCCTACAACTCGTATGAGGTGGACATGCCGGACGACCCTACCTCGGCCGCACAGCTCGCCATCCTCGCCCTCGTCCAGCCGTCTCTCCTCGCCAACGAGTCCCAGTCTCAAGAAGTCTCCACGCCCATGAAGGAGCGTCCAGGCTTCAGCTTCAAGAGCGACGTCAACGGAACTCCCATGGCCTCGCACGCCGGCTCGCCCGCCCCCGAAGGTTCCGGCACGCCCGCGCCGTTCGTCTTCGGCGCCGGCAAGGACCTCAACGGCGACAGCCCCGCGACCGGCGGCACACCCGCCGCCTCGCAGGCACCCGCCGGCATGTTCGTCGACCCGTCATCAGCAACGCTTGAGCGCAGTGCCGAGTCCGTGGCCGACGAGCGCGACGCGGTGCTACCGGTGGCCCCGCTCGACATCGCCATCCTCACCAGCATCCAGAACGCTGCCAAGGGCGACGAGAAGAAGCTGCGCGACCTGCTGGGCAGCATCATGGTCATCGGCGGCGGCGCCAAGATCCCGCAGTTCACCGTCGTGCTCGAGGAGCGCCTCAAGGCGCGCCGGCCGGACCTGACGGAGCGCATCCTGGTGAGCCGTAGCGCCAAGGACATGGACGAGCAGGTAGTCGCGTGGAAGGGTGCGAGCGTGTTTGCCAAGCTCCCGGCCAACGACTCGTGGATCACGCCGTTTGAGTTTGAGCGTCTGGGGCCGCGGACGCTCTACCACAAGGTCCTCTGGGCTTGGTGAAGGGGGGCGGAGTGAAGAAGGCGGGGGTGTTTTTTTGCGAAAGCGAACGGCGAATGAATTATCTTGGGACATTCTGGGCGGCACTAAAACCAGGAGTTTATGTAGAACATGGCGCATCAGGAATTCAATACATTTTATTTTACTGTTGATCAGTATCAACGCCGACCGTGCCGGATAAGACTTTCTCGCGGATTCGTAGTCGTGTAGTGAACGCGCGACTAGAACTTGGCATGTCGAAAACATCTCGGTGCCTGCATGCCATCATACACGGGTCAAATAACAACACAGCATCAGCTTCAACTTGTGCCAAACTTGAAATGCTCATCAATCGTGAACCTGGTCTCGCCCACCTCCTCGCCCCGCGCAAAGGCCACCCACAGCCGCCTGAACTCGGCGCCGACCGTCCTCACCAGACGCTCCGCGTCGCCGCCCTCGAGCATCGGCGCGTCCTTCCACGCGTCCCAGCCGCCCAGCAGGAGCGGCATCTCCAGCGTGTGCGGCGCGCCGAGCCCGCTTTCGCCCGGCGCGAGCACCAGCTCGTAGAACCAGGGCTCCGCGCCGCCCGCCGCCGCCGCCGCCGCTGCGCGCGCGCGCTCCCACAGTCGGTCCGCGTCATCCTTGAACCATGTTCGACCGATGAAGTCGGCGACGCTGGTAGTCGTCGGGATGGTCGGCCGCGCGTCGGGGCTCAAGGCGCCGAAGATGCCCTCGAACGCGACGCCCTCGTCGCGGCAGTACCCGACCAACAACGGGATGCGCGCCAGGGAGCGCTGCACGCGGGCGTCGAACTCGGCGGGGGTGATGGCCAGCGGCGCATGGCCGGGCGTCGGCGCGAACGGCATCCCCAGGGCCGCGAAGTCGCGCGAGGTGATGGCCAGCTGCTTCTGCACCTCGAGGAGCTCCTCAAGTGGCATCGAGGCCGGGTCGGGGGCGGACCGGGCGACGCGCTCGAGCGCGGCGTCCATGGCGGCACGGTCCATGTGCCGCACGCCAAGGGGTGTGCTCTGCAGGATGGCGCGCCGGAACAGGCCCTCGGCGCCGTCGGCGGCGAGCAGGCAGTAGACGGAGTCGGCGCCCGCTGAGCTGCCGGCGAGCGTCACCCGCCGCGGGTCGCCGCCGAAGCTGGCGACGTTGTCGCGCACCCAGCGCAGCGCGGCCATCTGGTCAAGCAGGCCGAGGTTGGCGGGTGCAACGCCCTCGATTGGCTGGTAGCCGAGGATGCCGAGGCGGTAGGTGACACCGACGAAGACGACGCCGCAGGCGGCCAGGTCGGCGCCGCTGTAGACGTCGAGGTCGGCGCCGCCGGAGGTGTAGCCGCCGCCGTGCAGGAACACGATGACGGGCAGTGGGTGGTCCGCCGGGGGGGTGGCTGGGGCGCAGACGCTGAGGTGCGGGCAGTCCTCGGACATGGCGCGGCCGGCGGCGATGGGCCCGTTGAGAGCCTCGAGGCGCGAGGGCAGCTGCGGGCAGATGGAGGCCGGCTGGGTGCAGTCGAGGACGCCGGACCAGGGCGGGGCGGGCTGTGGAGGCTGGAAGCGGGCGGCGCGGGCGTAGGGGATGCCGCGGGCGCGGATGATGGCGCCTTGCCGGCGGGCGGAGATGGCGCCGTCGCGGAGCTGGATGACGACGCTGGAGCTTTCTGCCATGGCGGGATAGGACTCGGGGTATGGGAATGTGATGGGTTGGGATGAGGGGCGAGGGAGCTGGCAGCTCATAAGGTTATATGTGTAGTTTGCATTTGTCGGAGCAGTGTCCGCCTCGGCCGGACGGATCGGCGCTCGCGTTTAGTGAGTTTGAGGAGGGGTCGGCGGGACGGAGCGTTGCCGTGCCGGCATGCATTATCGCGGCGGGGGCCGCAGACGATAGATCCAATTTCCGGCCACGTCGCTCAAGTTGACTGGTCCGAAGATGCACTTGTTAATCTCAAAATAGAAACACCTTTCTTTTGGCAGGGGCACAATGTTCCTTGCTGCAAATGTCATTCGGTGGCGCGCCCGGCTGGTGTAGGAGAGCGCAAATAAATGTGTCATCAGTAATTCATCTCTCTATTATAGGCTTCCTCCTATTGTCATTGTTTTAAATTTGCTTTGATAAATGATACTATGTCATCCACGCCTTGCGGCTCATTGATCCAGTGTCCCCCGTCTTCGTATACATTCCATTCCACGCGTAGCTCCAGGTTTTGTGACAAGACGTTCCTCATGCGCTGGCCGTTTTTAATCGGAACGACCTCGTCGTCGAGCGCGTGGCCCAAGAATATCGGCGTTGATTTCAGCTTCGCAGGCGGCGCCATCATCTCAACCTCGACTGCGAAAGGCAACCAGCTGCACAGGCCGATCAGGCCCGCGAACCCCCCCTCGTTCCCGCCAATGAGCTGGGACACGACCGTGGCGAAGCCCTGGCTGACCCCGCAGACGAACATACTGTCCCTGGTGATGAGCTTCTCCTCCGCCTCGATGACGGCGCGCAGCGTCTGCATGCTTTGATCCAGGCCGCTTCGTTGGATGTCGGGCTGCTCCTCGGGGTCTTCGACGTACCACATGTCGAACCACTGCGACATGTCAATGTCGAAGCGCTGCGAGCGCAGGATCGGCGCGGAGGGGAAGACCCAGCGCGCGGAGGGAAGCAGGCCAGGCAAAGTGAGGTCTTGGTCGTCGGTGGTGGCCGTGTTGGGGCTGGCTTCACTCTCGAACAACTCGGAGGCGAGCTCTTGGGCGGTGCTATCACGGCCATGCAGGAAGATTATAGTGCAGGCATGGTCGTGTCCCGGGGCGGGACCATGTACGTGTGTGTTGGGATCCATGGATTCTGTTGGCAGGTTGATTGAGGGTGAAAGTTGTGGTGTAGGTTGGTTGAGAGGACAGGGTGGTCGAGGTACAGGGTAACACAGCAAACAGGCTGAGGGTTGGAGCGAGCACTGGGAAAAAATTAGAAGACCTGGGCACTGGCCTTCTTTTTTTTCTTGTTTCTGCGCCGCAAATTGAGTTTCTTGCCAGCTCTGACGGCGCCGTGCAAGTTTGCTAGGCAGTCGCTATGTACATTGATGGATCGTATAAATGATGGTATCTTGGGCGCGTTTGAGCAGGAGAGAGAGGCGCGTTTACCCATTCTTGCCCACTTCCTCGAGCCACGGGTTTTTGCTACGCAGCTACTGCAGTAACGTGCTCAAGTAGGTAGAATTTCCGTAGTTACCATTTTGGTATGTTGAAATTTATTCTACTATGTAAATCTTCTAGTTAGCCAATCTTTATACGTGCTCGGTAGAAGTTTATCATCCGCAGATAAGCGAAGCTTACATATAAATAAACTGGACCCACTGTTGAAGGCAAGCCATCCATCTCAACTTTGTTGATCGAAATTCATTGGAGCAACTCTAACCACCTCCCCGCCGATCTTGGATCCAGATCCACGATTGATTCAACAATTTGTTCCCAAACTCAGTGCCGTTGTTGCGTCTATCAGCGACACGTACGCCAGAGCAGACTTGGACAGCATACAACCCCCATCACGAGACCTCTTCTGTTCTGTGTCAGACCAAGCCATGCCCATCGTGTGCCGCGTCTAGCACCATGGTTCGAATTGCGGCCGTCCGAGGCGCTGCGCACGCCCGACAGCTTTGCCAACGTTTGCCCACATCCAAGAAGCCTACTCCTCTTGCCGGTAGCATCCTCGCTGCTTCGCCGGCCGTCTCTTCCTCTGTCTCCGCGTCCGCCTCCAGCCGCCCCAGACACCTCTCCTCGACACGAACCCTCGACACCGCCACCACCACCTCGACACCGCCTTCGCCGTCACCGTCGCCCAGCAGCCGCAGCATCGCCGAGCTGCCCGACCGCACCCACCCTCGGTACCTACAAAGCTCGAAGCCCGGCTCGTCGCTTCTCGTGCTCAACTGGCCGCGGCCCCCGCGCAACCTGTTGCTGGTCCAGAAGCTGTACGCGCCCGACGTGACCGAGTCCGTGATCCGCTTCGCGCGCCACATCCGCGCCGAGTACCCCGACGTCAACGTCGTCGTCGAGCCGCGTGTCGCCGACATGATCCAGAAGCACCTCCCCTTCGCGCTCTACGTGGCCGACCACCGCTCCAACATCGCCGACAAGGTCGACGTGATCGCGACGTTTGGCGGCGACGGCACGGTGCTGCGCGCGGCCAGCCTGTACAAGCTGCACGGGTCGGTGCCGCCCATCGTCTCCTTCAGCATGGGCACGCTCGGCTTCCTCGGCGAGTGGAGCTTCGCGGACCACAAGAAGGCCTGGCGCGAGATGTACATGAGCGGCAGCGACGTGCCCGAGGCCCGCGAGGCCGACTACCTGCAGCAGGGCGAGAATAATAACCTGACGCGGCGCCGCGGCGGCAACGGCGGCGGCGAGCACGAGGGCTGGGAGCGCATGAAGGGCAAGTGCCTGGGCCACCAGCGGGCGTCGCGCGTGCTGCTGCGGCACCGCATCAAGGCGGACGTGTACGACCGCGCGGGCAACAGCATCAACCACCAGGTGTCGGACTCGCTGTCCGGCCAGTCGTCGGCCGTGGCGGAGCCGCAGGAGCCGTCGCCGTCGCTGCGGGCCATCAACGAGATCTCGCTGCACCGCGGCTCCCACCCGCAGCTCGCCGTCATCGACATCTACCAGAACGGGCACTTCCTGACGGAGACGACCGCGGACGGGATCCTGGTCAGCACGCCGACCGGGTCCACCGCGTACAGCCTCAGCGCCGGCGGGCCCATCGTCCACCCGCTCGTCCGCTCGCTGCTCATCACCCCGATCAGCCCCTGCAGCCTGAGCTTCCGCTCGCTGGTGCTGCCGCTGGACACGGCGGTGGTGCTGCGCACGAGCGCGCGGAACCGCGGGCGCGAGCTGGATCTGAGCATTGATGGGAAGAGGTGCGGGGGGGTGAGGCCGGGGACGGAGATTCGCGTGGAGGGCGAGTTCGTGGGCCGCGCGGGGCTGGGCGAGGAGTGGCACGGCGGCGTTCCGTGCGTGATCCGCACGGAGGAGGACGATCCTTGGGTGGGAGGGCTGAACGGACTGCTCAAGTTTAATCATCCGTTTGGAAGGGACCCGACCATGGACGACATATCGGATTGAGCGCTGTTGGTGAGTGACGGAGATGTTGCCATCATCTGTTGATGAGTGACGGAAGAGTTGCCATGACGTATAGATACCCCATCGCTACTTGGAGATTTTGAATCTTGTATATTACGCCAACGTCGCAAATACCTGCGCATGGCCCAATCTAATTCTAATTTGACAAAAAGCTATATACCAAAAACGAAAACTGTATCAACTTCTTCATATCGCACACGTTCAATACTGATCCAGGTACTCCCGCGGCACCGTCGGCCAGGCATCCACGCCGTCCAGCAGCACCATCATCATGCCGCCCATCATATGGTTGCTGATATGACAATGCACCAGCCACGCCCCCGGATTCACCACCTGGTACCTCACCACGATCCAGCTCGTCTCGTTCCTCGCCACGCGCGTCACGAACGCGTCCCTCCGCGGCGGGTCCGCCAAGTTGAACCACCCCGGTTTTTCCCTGACGGCCTCGTCCACCGAGCGCCACGGAAAGGCGCCGGTGCCGCCGCCGATGCGGTACATCTTGTTGCCGTGCTTGTGGACCGGGTGCGGCGGCATGGGGAACACGGACGCGTACAGCACGAGGTCGACCCAGGTGCCGTTGCGCGTGGCGAGCGTCACGTTGCTGCGGAGGGTGGCGGGCAGGTCGGGCGGCTGGAAGAGGAGAGGGACGGGGTGGGCGTCGAGGTCGGAGGGGGAGAGGCGGGTGCTGTTGAGGGCCCAGAGGTAGGAGGCGCCGTCGAGCTTCATGCGTAGCACGTGTAACTCGTCGGCGGAGGCGGGGATGGGGGAGGGAGG